AGTATATATATATATATATATATATATATATATATATATACATATATATATATATATTGTATATACCTGTGGCGATCGGTGACTTTTTTAACCGGGTATGCTGAGTGATAAGATTAAGACCCCCCATCGGCTTTTAGGACACGCTCAGTGGGATCACAGATGACAAAGAAACACTGTGGCAGGTGTCGATTTAAAAGCATGCACGTTTCCTACCTTATTTGTAAATAAAATTCATGTCTAAATCCTTCTTCTGTCGTTTCAGGTTTATCCATTGTTATTCGAATGCTAGAAAAATAAAGCTGGCTTTCCAAGTAAAAACAGCCAAATAACGTTTACACGTAGTTACGTTATGATATATTCAGAGTGTGGGGAGATGGGGGGCGGGGGTTCCCCCGGTCTACATGTCTCTGCATCTGCTAAATTATTTTTTTTTTCTTTTAATTCGCAGTGAATAGGAGTTAAAACTCCCACCCGGGTGACACTACTCCAATAACAGACCATGCAAAACAATAATATCTTTAAAATATTGCCAAGTAACGTTGCAACCTTGCAAACAACAATAAAATCGGAGAAGGACTTTAACTGTAAGTGACTGGAGCATACGCAAAACAAAAGGAACAATAACATCTTAATGTGCAAAATGTTCAGAGGATTGTTTCTTTCTTTTCTTGTTTGTAATTATTAAAATTTTATATAGTCCACGTTTTTATAAACATTTTTTTTTCATTTACCACGTTGACTATAACGTACACATCTTCAACATACATTGTCTATGACCAAAAATGTAAGAAGATATGCTTTCAGTGGACTTTTAAAATTTTCTTTGCTTGAAAAAACAAAAATATACAGTTACAGCATGTTTTTCTTTTGATTTAGTCGATTTGGTTTTGCATCAAACACAATATTATTTTCGGCAGTTGAGATCTGACAGCAACAGTGCATTTTTCCGCTTGGGCGAGTGCTTCGCGGACAGCTTACCTCACTCATTAAATCAGCCGCAGGCCAGTAAACCAATGAGAACGCGCTACAATCCTGAAGAGTCATAGCTACAGAGCGGAGATAAGAAAGCTGCAGAGAATCTGCTCGCCCGGAAGCAACCATAACTGACGTAGATTTACAGAAAATTACTGCCCTTTGGCAAATAAATCATTTTACGCACTTATTCCTAACCCTTTAAGCTTTAAGTTACATTTTAAATGACAAGGGATCAACTTGTAATCATGTTTATATTAATAACCCCCTGAACTTATTCTCTCAAATTCTCTCAAATGGCCTGGGTATGCAGAGCATTCGCAGCTTATATGGACGGAACGCCACTGACATATACATATATGTGACTTAAGTCGCTGGGGTATATTTGTAGCAATAGCCAAAAATAAATTGTATGGGTCAAAATTATTGATTTTTCTTTTATGCCAAAAATCGTTTGGATATTAAGTAAATCCCTCAGATTCCAGATTTTCAAATAGTTGTATCTTGGCCAAATATTGTCCGATCCTAACAAACCATGCATCAATTAAATATTATTTATTCGGCTTTCAGATGATGTATAAATCTCAATTTTAAAAAAATTGACCCTTATGACTGGTTTTGTGGTCCAGGGTCACATATGTATATGTATATTTACATATACATCTCCTGCCTGTGGATTGATTAAAGGACTATCTTGTTTATTTCTATTCCTGTGTTGTGTGCTTTCCATAGCTACACGTGACAAAATACCGGAACTCTTAAGTTATTATTGCGGCATTTTTCTTTCTTTTTGTTTTTGTTTTTCTCCTCTCCTCTCCCAGATGGATTTACCGGCCGTCAAGCTCCTTTGCCTGGAGCAGCAGTACCATTTGCTGGAGGACCATACTAGGAATGTCTTAGATCTGGCGTGCCCTACACATTTCCCTGACTGCTCGCTTTGCATTTTTTACATCACCAGCCTGAGTGAGTGTTGTAAGGCACGCCTGCCAGCGAACGGTGCCAGAGAGGATTTCGCTGCTTTTGTGGAGTGGGTGGTGGTGAATAACAGATCTTTATTGACTTTCTGCCCCGCCGAGAAGGACTTCAGCAGCCCCACTCCAAACCCAGAGACCAGCCAGCCATCATCCCGCTGCACGGAGCAATCGCCTGAGCCCACCGCAGACGGAGAGCCTGAGCCTGCCGCGACACGTGAGCCAGCGCATAAACCCACGACTGAGCCGATCATCGCCCCAGAGACTGAGCCTCAAGAATCATCTGACCATGTGCATGAGCCGGGAACATCCTCCGTCCCTGAGGGAGTACTAGTGGAGATCGAGGGCTTGGAGGGAAGCCCCGCCCACACTCCCGCCGCTGGGGGTGAGCTGCAACTGGTTTCTGGACATTATGAGGAACTGATGGACATTTTTCAAGAGGACTTAATAGACTGGTTTGAGGAGGTAATACCCAGTACTCCTGAGTCTCCTATGTCTCCTGTGTCTCCGCTGGTTCCGCCCAGCCCTGAATCTCCTGCGTCTCCACTGGTTCCATCCAGACCTGAATCTCCTGCGTCTCCGCTGGTTCCATCCAGACCTGAATCTACTGCGTCTCCGCAGGTTCCGCCCAGCTCCTGTGTTCCCTCCCAGCCTCCCTCTCCTGCCTCTTCTTGTGCCAGCCAGTTCCTCTGCCCCGTCTCCGCTGGTGCCTGTCATCCACTCAACTCACCCTAAGTCAGCGCCATTTGGGTGCTCTGATCCGCTTTGGGACTTCCAGTCTCCAGCTCCGCCTAGGCGTGAGGATCCCCTGTCTCCGCCTCCAGCCTCTGAGTCCTGGACTTCACCCCGGTCCTTCGACCCATCGACTTCGCCTTGGTTCCTAGCTCCCTCATATCCACCGTGGCCCGTCATCCCACTGGCTCCACCAGGCTCACTCGTCCCTCCGGCTCTGCCTTGGTCAGTCGTCGACCATCCGCCACCTCGGGACTCCACTCCTCTGGCTTCGCCTCATCATTCTGTCCTTCTGGCTCTGTCACGGTCCTCCTTCCCTCTCGCTCCGCCTGCGTCCTCAGTCACTCCGGCTCCGCTGCGGTCTTCCGGATCCTCGCCTCCGCCTTGGTCGCCTGAGCCTTCAGCTCCGACCTTGGCCCTCCGGATCAGCTGTGTCGCTCTGGCTCTCTGTCTGCTCGGCTCCACCTGGGTCTCCACCTCCAGCGGCTCAGTCTCCGTCAGTCAGGCCCCTAGTGTTTGTCGGCCCCTTCTCCACCATGGCTCATCCCTCCCTCGACTCCGCCCTGGGGCCTTGTCCTGGCTGGTCTCTGGATCAACACCTGGCTCCTCCTGCTCTTAGCTCCTCCATGGCTCCTCCCAACGTCAGCTACACCCTGGTCTCTCCATCCACCTTCTCCGCTGGTTCCCTGTCCTGCATGTCCTCCGTGTCCTCCTCCAGAGCACCCCCCCGCCGTTGACTCCACCGTGGGCCGCTATCCTGGCTGGCCTCTGGATCTCCATCTGGCTCCTCCTGCTCCGGGCTCCTCCCTGGCTCCTCCCTTATTCTACTCCGCCCTGGCCCTATGAACTATGGTTTTTGATTAATAACCTCCACACCTGTTTCAGTTCTCCCTAATTACCTTTTCTAGTATTTAAGCCCTGTGTTTTGCCCTAGCTCCTTAGTTCCGGTATTGATGTTGATTTTTTTTTTCTCCTGTGTTTCTCGTGCCTGTGGATTGATTAAAGGACTATCTTGTTTATTTATATACCTGCGTTGTGTGCTTTCCATAGCTACACGCAGGGCCGTCATTAGGGGGGTGCAACTAAGGACTACTTAGTGCAACTAAGGGGGTCCTACCTCGCACCGGGCCCCGCGTCAGCTAAGGACGGCCCTGGCTACACGTGACTATATATATATATATATATATACATATATACACACATATATACACACACAAAACAAAATTGTATGTATATATGTATGTATCCAAAATCCATCCAAGATGTAGATGAGTTTGTTTCTTCTGAAAAATTCAAAAGGAATAGTTCAACAAGATGAATTTGTTTCCTCATCAGAATAGATTTGGAGGGATTTAGCATGCCATCACTTGCTCACAGATTTCCTTAAATCTGTTTTAACGAAGAAACAAACTCATCTACATATTGAAAGACTTAAGGCTGAGTACATTTCCAGCAAAATTTCAATTTTGGTTGAATTATTCCTTTAATTCAGCTATAAGCTTCTACACAGAAGGCAATTGTGTCCTCAGTTCAGAGTTGATTCAGTTCAGTTCAATAACAGTGTCAATGCTGCAGATCTCATCAATTATGAAACACATTTGATTCACAATTGATTTGGTGTGTCAAAAATATCCATGGAAAAGATTGTTTGACAGTGTCAATGCAGCCTGGAGTAGAAAGCAATAAAACACGTTTTGTCTAAAAAGACAGGGAAACAAAACAACACAAAGAACAACCAGCAGTGTGCAATGAAGAAAATGAAATACAAGTGGTGATTATATGAATATGATCAAAGAAAGAAATTAAATTAACTCCATATGAGACGTAATAACAATAATAGTAGGCATGCAGTGTGTGCAGCCTGTGAGAAATCGAGTTGGAGAGAGAGAGCGAGAGAAGCAACGAGGGCTGGTGCACGCATGACGGACGCTCCGTGAGCTCTGAGACGGCCAATCAGAGCGCTCGGCTCGGCCAAGCTGCTGCAGCTGAGGAGTGAGAGAGGATTCTCCCACACACATGCACACACACGCATCCAGAGCAGCACACGCTCGACAAGGGAGCGCAGACACGCGGTGACAATGGTAGGTATGGGACATAAAGTCTGTTTGGAAACTTTACCACACGCACCCGATGCACATTTGTGGACTTATATCATTAGGTAATGTGGAATATTTTCTATTTTCATGCATCGTACCGAATGTGTTTTGTATAGTATGTAGGCTGAGAGTGAGTGAGTTATCTGAAGGAAGTTGCTGTGCATCATCCGACTATAGAAAGTGAGTAATGCCACTTTATTTTCCAGCATGCATGAGACAAGAAGTCAACATCAGGATAAAAGGGATGTGTGCGGTATCTGTTGAGTATCTCCTGCTGTGCTGTGTGAAGCAAACCGACGCTGTTCAGCCGTGTCTGAAATGATGTGCGCTTCATCAGATTGCAAGACGCAGCTGAGAGGTGCATGTCTGCGGCTTATAAGGCTTATCTTCTTACAGCCGCACTTACGCACCGTCATCCAGACGAAAGGAGAGGAGGAGATCAGGGGCGGCAGATGAATGCTAATAATGTTTGTGTAGATTCAACTGCCGGAGAAGAAGTTGTTGAAGCACGTCTGCATGTGTGGTGTGATGCTTAATGTCACTTTTTTTTGTTCAGAAGCAGCTTCTTATTGATATATTTTCCTTGCACACTCAGAGACGTGCACACAAAACTGTTTGGTGTTTGAGACATAGCGTTGCTCTATTACAGCCCCTGAAAGGATGGTTGTGGTTCGATACAGAGCTTGTGCTGTTGTGCTGTCAGAGGGTTAAATGGGAGATTTCATAAGATAGAAAGAGAATGATGGGAAAGAGATAAAGCGAGCTTTCTGAGTCTGCCGTGTGTGGAGAGCATTCTTTTCTCGGCTCCTTCTTCTGAAATGATTAAATTTGGGCCACTTTGCAGAGGAGTTGGTTGTAGGATTTGAGAGGGATTTGATTCTCTCTAGAGAGCAGCGGCGTTCGACTGTATAAATCACCCTCAGACCGTTGACATACAGGCCTAGTTATGTATGGCAATGATGTGGATGTTTCCAACAGGAAAATCTAGTGATTCTTCACATACTGTTGACAGTGCATGACAGAGCTCTTCCTCATGAACCATTTGGTTGCAGATTTTGTTGATTCATTCTGATTCATGAGCCTTGTATGAAGTGAGCACTTTTGCTATTTGAGGTGTATTTGGGGCCAAACTAATGAAAGGGCGGATTCTAACCTGCATGTTCAGCATGAGCTCATAGCTCAACATTTCTAGACTATATAAATTACTAAGTCATGGCACCAACATATTTTCTAATTCTTTTTTTCTAAAAATAAAAAAGTAAAATGAAATAAAATAAAATTATATAATAATTATTACATTATTTAATGATGACAATAATAGATTTTTTTAGCAGTCTTAGCCAAGTTAAAACTGGTGTAATTAATTTTTATTTACTATGTAAATTAAATATTTAAATATTTATAATCAACACATCAGGCCACATTAATCCAGCTGAGAATTAGTTTTCAGTGTTTTGAAGAGAGGGATTTATTTAGTTCTTTGTGTTTGTCATTCTGAAAGCAATGAAAGTTCATTAGGTGAGTTCGGCTGACTCATTTGAAGCTGAGTAGTAGCAGACCAGCACAGGAAAATGTGTATCATAAGTAATGTGGCAGATGTGCAGGAGTGATTTGTAAGTAGGTAGGCCAAACAGACAAAGCCAGTGTGTTTATCACTGAATGAAAGGCAAATATGATAGTATATCTTACTTTACTCTATTATCTTGAAATTCGCTAAGGATTTGTATGTTTTGTTCTTGTTTCTTTCTTCTTGTCATATGCATGACTTGTAAAACCATATGCGTTTCTGTAGGCCTGGGTTTGGCTGGCTAGCACAATCCAGTGAGCCCCTGCTGGTAGATAATATTACACCATCTTCATTTACCTGTTTTTATCATTATTTTATAATAATAATAATAATAATAATAATAATAATAATAATATATATTTATACTTGTTTGTTACAAACAGGGTGAAGGTTCAAAGATCTGGAATCCATGACTTCATACTACCGATACCAATAGCCTTTTAAATACTTCATTGAGAGAAAGGGTCCATCTTTGAAGGGTCTTCTGATGAGAACACGCTGTGTTAAATGGAGTCCAGATAATAACCATCACCCTGTTAACCTCTGAAAAGTGGTTCACACCGAATAAAGCAGAAAACCAAAGTGTCAATAAGTGAATGAAACACTTGAGGCATCATAACCTTCAGACCTGTGAAACTGCTCCTCTAATTCATCCTCTGCACAACTGACTTGTCCTAATAGAGCAGGAATACACGGCTATCTAGTCCAGACAGCTCATTACTTGCTGTAGCCCTTTAATTAAGCAAATACTCTTGATGCTAAAAGCTGCCTGTGTCACAGTTCACAGAAAGTCATTAATACCATTAAATAAACTAGCGTTGGTGGCTGATTTGGCTTTGCCTGCAGGAGGCTAATGTCTATACTTCTCTGTTTGTTGTGTTAGCATGTCTGCGCAAGACAAATACTGTGTGGCTTATTGCTAAGTGTTGAGGCAGTGATTTGAAACAGCACTTCGAGGAGAGAAACATCGTTAGGGAGACAAAAAAGCCTGCAATGAAGTGATTATCCTTCTGTGTGAGATTGTTAAGGATGCTTATAGTTGTCATGAAAGTAGCGATTTGTCTCGGTAAGAGAGAAAAATGTGTGATGAAACATGAGCGTGGATCACAGACAGGCTGTGATGGCACATGCAGTCTTCATCCGTGCATTGTTTACTTGTGTACTGTTCCTTTGGTTTGTCGTCTTTCTTCTCTCTTTTCCTTTGTTCTCTATCTTGAATATCATTGTACCTTACTTTCTTTCCCACCCTGAATCATCTCATTTCCTTTTCCTTTCCTCTTGTTTTCTTGTCCCTTCACTTTTCTTTCCTCCTTCCTCCTTCCTCTTTCATTTCCATTCTGCTTCCTTTTCCCTTTCTCTTTTTTGTCACACTCTCCTTCCACTTTCATTTATTTTCCTCTTTTCCTTTCCCATCTCATGCCTTCCCCTTTCCCTTTCCATTTTCTCTTCTTGTATCTTCCCTTTTCCTCTTCCCCTTCTTTCTTTCTCTTCACTTCTTTTCCCATTCCTCTTTCATTTCAATTCTACTTTCTTTTCCCTTTCTCTTCATTTTTTGCCTCAGTCTCCTTCCACTTTCATTTTTTTCTTTTCCTCTTCCCTTTCCCATCTCATGACTTCCCCTTTCCTTTTCCATTTTGTCTTCTTGTATCTTCCCTTTTCCTCTTCCCCTTCTTTCTTTCTCTTCACTTCTTTTCATCTTTCTCTTTCATTTCAGTTCTACTTCCTTTTCCCTTTCTCTTCATTTTTTGTCGCTGTCTCCTTCCACTTTCATTTTTTGTATTTTCTTCTTCCCTTTCCCATCTCATCCCTTTCCCTTTTCCTTTCTATTTTCTCTTCTTATGTCCCTTCTCTTTTCTTTCTCCCTTCCTCCTTTATTTCCATTCATATTCCCTTTCCCTTTTTCTTTCACTGTCCCCTTCCCTTTTATTTATGTCCCCTTTCCCTTTCCATCTTCCCATTTTGTACTTTCTCTTTTCCTCTTCCTCTTCTTTCTGTCACCGTTCTTTCCCCCTTCCGCTTTCATTTCCATTTCCACTTCCTTTATCACCCCTTCCCTTTTCCTTTTCCGTTTGTCCTTTCTTGTTCATTTTTCCCTCTCCCCTTTCTTTCGGTTTTATTTTCCCATTCCCCTCTCATTTCCATTCTACTTGAATTTCCCTTCTCACCCATTACCCTTTTTCTATCTTCTTTCATTTTTCCTTTCCCTATCCCTTTTCTTTTCTGACCCTTTCCATTTTCCCGTTCTTGTTCTTTCCCTGCTCCTTCTCCTTCCCTTTTCATTTCCTTTCCTCTTCCCTTTCCGTCCTATTCCTCGTTCATTCCCTTTCCATTTCACTTTTCCTTGTTTCTCTTTTCCCTTTGCCCTTTGGCTTTATCTTCCACTTTTATTTCCTTTCCTCTTCCCTTTCCCCATTTCCCCTTTTCCTTCCCCCCTTTTTTCCCTGTCCTTTTGCTTATTTATTACTCTTCTACTTGCATTTCCTTTCCTCTTTCATATCCTGCCTTTCCCTTTTCAATTTCCCTTTCTTGTTTTTATTGTCCCTTTCTCCTTCATTTTCCCTTTCCCTTTCCCCTTTCATGTCCATTCCTCTCTCTTTCCCTTTTTTCTTTCACTGTTTCCTTACCTTTTCATTTTTCCTTTTCCCTTTCCCTTCTCACCCTTTTGCTTTTCTTTCACCTTCTCCTTCCTCTTTCATTTATTTTCCTCTTCCCTTTTTTGTTCTCATCCCTTCCATTTCCTTTTACATTTTCCCTTCTTGTTACTCCCCTTTTTGCTTTCTGATTCCTTCCTATTCTTCCCCTTTTATTTCCTTTCTTGTTCCTCTTCCTTCTGCCTTTCCATTCTCATACTTCCTACCATATTTCCCTTTCCCCTTTCCTTCCTTTTGCTTTCCCTCTCCTTTGCATTTTCCTCCCCCTTTCCCATCCCTTTCATTTCTCAAACCATCATAATTTTCTCATTTCTTGTGGCATATTTAAGGGCTTTAAGGCATTTCACGACACCATTGGTATTTTATGGATGTACTATATTCATAAAGCTGATTTGTTTACCGCACCAAAGGTTTATATCACCTCATTTATCTCTCTATCACTTTATTTCTCTCGCTCTGTCATTTCTGAAATCTCCTAGCATTCGTGCATCTTTATCTGGTCTCCCACCTCAGGATTTCCCATGAGCTTCACTCCTCAGCAGCTCTCCTGACAGAACAAGTTATGAGAGAGACAGAATTCAGTAAAACAGAATATGGCTCACTTTAAAACGCATACTCATAGACTCATGCAAGTCAATAATCCCTCTCTCTCTCTCTCTCTCTCTCACTCTCTCTCAAATACACAGAGGGAGGATTCACTAAGAATGAATTGAACACAATGATAGCACTATTTATTTGCTTGCAATGTCTTATTTTAGTGCCCAGTTCACTAAAGAAATGATACATATCAGTAATGGTGAAATGCAGTGGATGCAGCGGACTACTGCAATCTGCTGTACTTTAC